TATATAAAGACGGCTGTTACACTGCATTCTGCAAAAACGGCCACTCGTGCCAACAAGTCGGTTACCACGCCGCATTCTGCAAAGTAACCACTACCGGGCCGACCAATCCGTCATTCGATTCGATCCACAGGTCCAACATCAAACCACCGACCTCATAATTGAAGGGCCGACTCATTGGCTGACCTCACAACGGTTGACTACCAAATCTCTTGACGGATGAACAACCTCAAAGATTACCGAGCCGCATGATCACGCCGAACCCGAAGTTGTGGCTTAATCATGGACGACCTAACTGATCACCGCAAAAAATCGGCCGACCACCCTAGACAGTCCGACTTCACCGCATGATCGACCTCAACATTTGTTTGGCTATTCAAGATGGGGACAATTTCACAGTCGAGCTCAGACTTCCTACCGGGGCCGGACCTCGCGGCTAAAGAAGCAGGACCCGACCTCACGAATCGAAGTCAACCGGAGCGCCCGAGTCGTCGCGTTGGCACCCTCATCCGGCCATTTCCTGAGCCATTTGACAGACTTCTTTCTGTGCTAATTTATTATTCTCCCACCAACGAGTCGCGTTTCATTTACTCCGGACTGGTTGATCGTTCGCCTCCGACCTCACTTATCTACGCTGGGGCCGGAATCACTTATCTATAGCGGGGTCGAGATCATTTATCAGCGTCAGAGCCGAAGTCACTTATCTATGCTGGGAGCTAGCACGCTTTATTCATTCGCACCGTGACCGGTCATCTATCTGCTAAGTTTATATTTTCTCGCCGTGGAGCCTTTGATCCGGTTGAGCTGACGTCCATATTTTCTCGCCGTTGAGCTCGACTTCGGCTGAGCGACATTTATATTTCCTCGCCGTAGAGCTTCGACTCCGACTGAGCGACTTCTATATCTCCTCACCGTAGAGCTTCGACTCCGGTTGAGCTGACGTCCATATTTTCTCGCCGTTGAGCTCGACTCCGGCTGAGCGACGTTTATATTTCCTCGTCGTAGAGCTTCAACTCCGGTTGAGCGACGTCTATATTTCCTCACCGTAGAGCATCGACTCCGGTTGAGCTGACGTCCATATTTTCTCGCTGTTGAGCTAGACTCGGGTTGAGCGACGTTTATATTTCCTCGCCGTAGAGCTTCCGTAACACCCCGCTTATCAGAGTAAATTTTTTCGCAACTGTAACTTCGAAAATACTTAATAATTTTTCGAAATCTTTTGCGCTTAACTGGGATGCTATTAAAACTTATCTTTTCTGAAAATCCGTTTTTCTTTAAACTTGGTCTAACTACTGGTTTAGACATAAAGAAAACAGATTTAATCAAACATGCATGTAACTAGACCATGTTCATACTATTGAACTACGGTTAAGCTCTGTAAATCTGAAAATACTTAACATGCAAGTTCGAAACTTAAATTTGTAGCGGAATTTCTTAAAAGCATCTCTTATTATACAGACTGTATAAATACATGTCCACATAATATAGCAACTGGTTGCATCCACGACCACCACCACCACTTGTAAATCTCACATCTCTGCCCCGACCCTGTGACCTGAAAAACACAATGGGAGTGAGTATTGGTCCTTTTGTACCCCGAAATCGCCCATACTAAAGTAAACAGCAATAATAACATAATATCATGATTGTTGGTATATATCTGAACTGGAAATCTGTTCCAGTAACTTAAACTGAATCTGGTCGATATCTGATCGGATACTTGTGCACAATCTGATGGATATTTCTTAAGGCAACTTGGGGCTTCCATCAGAACTTAGGTTATACTTGTAAGGAAACTGATAGCCTTCTCATCCCAAGCATATAAACTTAAACTGTATACATACCTCGGACATGATATCAATATTATACTCAATGTAATACCCAGGCTGGGTCGCCCACCTTTCTTCTTTTGAAAAACGTAAGTGTTGTTCTTGAGTAGCTAACTCCTCAAGCTACATAAAAATATAAACAAATACACTAAGTACTATGCTCGTATACTCAATAAGATACTGGGATTCTCAACTTTAACGGATAACTTATCCTAATCTTAAATAGATTCAATAGGCATACTATTGCTCAAATGAATACTAAACTTGACTTTTCTTGAACTTTAACTCAATCAAATACTCAGTCCATATAAATCATATTTTCCAAATCTTATATATTGGCTTATACTCACTTGTCACTTAAACAACTTGAAAGTGAAAATAAACTAAATTTCACATTAACTCAAACATACTCAACTTTTAATCATAACACTCAATTATGATATTAATATGCGAGACTTAAAACAATCTTTATAAAATTGTATACTCAACATATTAAGCTAAAACTTTGTCAAATTGCTCATCACTTATATGAGAATTTTTCATAATAATCTCACTTTAAAAACTTGAATATATAATGAATATTCGCACATATAAAATCATCTTTACATATATGCCGTTTAAATATCTTAACTCATTCATTTCTCAAATTTAAATCATGAAATTTAGCAGTCATGTTCATAACTCATATTTAGACATGTCATAAAAATTTCATTAATTTATCATGCATATATCTCGACTTATTCAAGTTTAAAGTTGCTGCTGAAAACAAGTACATAAAATTCAGCTTGCATGATAAACTTTAAAAATATCATATCTTGAGTTATACTAAACTAAATGACTTGATTCTTGATCCTACGTACTCTTCTTTTACACAAGAATAACAATAGGAATCATATATTTTCAGATTTTTCATAGCTAGGTAAAAATCTCATCATAACTGAACACATATGACATATATATGAGCTGGAAATAACTTATCTTCTAGCATGCTTATAATCATATGAAAACTTAATATCTAGGTCATATAAAAACATCATTAAACACTTAATATTATCTACTAAACATGCTAAAAATATAGCATCTTACCTCCTTCTTGCTTGAAATCTAAAGTTGCTCCTTGACTTCTTCGAAAATTAAAACTCTACTATTTTTATTTTTATTTTTCTCTCTCTTTCTATCTTTTTGATGAAACTATGATGATTTGAGAAGATACTTGATGAGAAAATATGATTTAAATGTCTCTATTTATAGCCATGAATGAGCTTTCGGTAGATAAAATTTAGTCCACCAAAGTTTAATAAAATTCTCACCAATTGTTGAAAAAAATGCTAACTTAAAGACTTAGCAAAACTTTGTTGTGATTTTCTCTTCTAATTCTCACCAATTGATGACCAAAATTTCGTGCTTAATGTGATGGAATTGATTCCATATATTATTGAAAATATTTCACCATTCATCATATAAAAATCTTTGGAAACAAAATAATAAAAATAATAAAAATCATCCTTTTTATTACTTATGCATTTTCTTTCAAAATGGCTGACTTTTAAAACTCTTTTACTGAAAAGTAATGCTCATATATGGTCTTGGATCATGCTAATAAACCGAGAATAATACAATTTACGGAACTCAATTCGGACTTAAAACGAACATTTACCGTAAAACTGAAAATTCTAAAATTTAAATCCTTTACTCCCGGTTTTTCCTTCAATTTGCTGAACATATTGCTTCTTAGGAGCTAATATAATGATCTTGGAATATTCTAACATTTACGGAATCACATTCAGACTTAAACCGAATGATTACCGTAAAAACTGAAAATTCTAAAAATTTCGGTTTCTCTTAAAATAATTTAAATAGACTATAATATCTAAATAAATTTTCTCACCTCTTTGAACATTTATAACTTAGATGTTCATGGATACTTAACCTTACTTCGAGACTTAACTTGTCTCAAATTGTGCTAAGGCCCGATACTATGATCTTATCTTGATGACTTGAACACTTAGAAAAATTCTAAGTATTTAATACTAAGGCTCGGCTATTATTTAATTAAGACTCAACTCATGACCGAACATACTTGGTTCAGTTCACTACTTATCTTAAACGGTTAATCAAAATATACTCAATTTTGATTATTCGTCATCTTATATTAATTAATCCCGTCTATAAAAATAAACAGATCGGAATTAATTAATTACTGAACTGGCTCGATTACTGAATAAAATTTAACCGAAAATACTTTCGACTTAAAGTCGAATTTTTAACTGAATAACTTAATAACTGGTCTCGGAACTAGGAACGAGCATTATTAATAAAAGTAACTAATTCAACTTAGAACTAAAATAATTACTTTTATTAATTACTGAATGGGATATTACAGCTTCGTCTCCGGCTGAGCGACGTTTATATTTCCTCGCCGTAGAGCTTCGACTCCGGCTGAGCGACGTCTATATTTCCTCACCGTAGAGCTTCGACTCCAGTTGAGCTGACGTCCATATTTTCTCGCCGTTGAGCTCGACTCCGGCTGAGCGACGTTTATATTTCCTTGCCGTAGAGCTTCGATTCTGGCTGAGTGACGTCTATATTTCCTCACCGTAGAGCTTCGACTCCAGTTGAGCCACGTCTATATTTTCTCGCCGTAGAGCTTCGACTCCGGCTGAGCCGACTTTTTGAAAAATGTCCCAAAGTGCCACTAATCGGCGTAAAAGCCGACATTCTGAAAAATGGCCCAAAGTGCTACTAGTCGGCGTAAAAACCGACGTTCTGAAAAATAGCCCAAAGTGCCACTAGTCGGCGTAAAAACCGATGTTCTGAAAAAATGGCCCAAAGTGCCACTAGTCGGTGTAAAACCCGACGTTCTGAAAAATGGCCCAAAGTGCCTTAAGTCGGCGTAAAAACCAACGTTCTGAAAAATGGCCCAAAGTGCCACTAGTCGGCGTAAAAATCGACGTTCTTAAAAATGGCCCAAAGTACCACTAGTCGGCGTAAAAACCGACGTTCTGAAAAATGGCCCAAAGTGCCTAAAGTCGGTTCTAAAAACTGACGTTCTGTAAAATGGCCCAAAGTGCCTAAAGTCGGTTCTAAAAACTGACGTTCTGTAAAATGGCTTAAGTGCCTCAAGTCTGTTTAAAAAACTGACGTTCTGAAAGATGACCCCAAGTACCTTAAGTCGGACTAAAAAACTGACTAACAATTAAATTAAAATTAACCAAACCTCCATAGTGGTTTTGGTAGGCCAAAATGCTCTAAAACTAAAAAGGCCAAACAGAGCCAACCATAAAAAAATGCATAGAAAAAGAGTCGTTGTGAATTCATCGCATGGACTTCAAATCACGAAAAACATTCGCAAGGGCCCGAGCGCCCTACGTATCGATGAACGGAACCGACTCTCTCAACGAGCATTATGTCAAATAACGGGTACCAAATTACCCGACTAGGCCTCTCAGGCCCCATTCTGTATTAATTCCAAAAAATTGTCCACTTCACCGACTTAGCTCGTCAAAGAGCATAAAGCGCGAATGACATGCCAAACGTCAGGCCAAAGCCTGAAAACGATCAACAAAACGCCCACGGGTCCCAAAGCACCCAGACAACTCTGCTAGGATATTTGTCACAGCGTAAAGTGCCCTAAGCTCGAAAAAATCATAAGTGAATGTCCGCAAAATTAACAGTAAACGCGACTTCAGAACAGTTCTGTTCAGAACATGTCCTAAAGTCGGGGGCCTAATGTTGATACACAATTTAGCCTCGATTAATAAAAATGCTACACGTGGATAAATATAAATATAGCAGGTTCTCTGAGCTGATTATTTAATATCGACCGAGTTCCCGAGTGCCCAGATCATCCACATTCGAGCGGAGCAGAATTAATATCGTCAGTCTGACCCGGATATCGAGAAGATCCGAGTCCGACATACACAATAATTGCCGAAAAAGTAGACGTCAATCGAAGCCGTCAAATGTCACGATCGGGCCTAACAATGTCATTTCACATTAAATACTAATGTTCCCTATTTACATATTTTTTAATAGGCCCACTTGTAAGCCCACTTGTAAGAAAAGGGGGATGAATATGTATGGGGATATGGGAGAGAAAAAGAAGAAACGAGATCACTATCCATTCATCTTCTTTCAACAACAATAATACAAAAAAATTCTTGATATTTTCATCTTCAATATACATACAAAAATCAAACACCGATTATTCATAGAATAGGGGTGTAATTTTCGTTGATACAAACCGTTTATCAACATATATATAAACAAATAATTTTTTTTATTATTATTATAAAAATTAAATTTTGTAATACTAATAGAAAATTAATAAAATTATATGCCAATTATAAAAATATTTGTAAAGTCATTACATGCATTAAATAAATTATTACAACATAAGACGGATAAATTATACTAAATAAATTATTACAACATACGACCAATAAATTATACTAGTAAAGAATGTCATTTTAAATATAATAACAATTATGTAGTTTATTGAAATTATTATAAATTTAGATAAAAAATCTCACCCTTTTGCTGTTTTTTTTATTAATTTATGTATATATTTTTTTTAAATACAAACCGTTTTCTTTTTTTGTTTTTCTCAGAACGATAGAAAGATTCTCATAACTAAAAGCAAATCAAAGTTTGAATACACACAACCTCAACTGAAACCGATCTAAAAAGAACCACTCGAGGGTGGCCTAAACCAAACAACACACCAACACACAAGGCCTAAGGCAATGACAACAACACTGAACCCTTAGAGCATCTACAATGCTTTGGGTTCAATCCCAAAAAATTACATGCCACATAAGAAATAGACTCAGTCCAAAAAAATATATTCTCCAATGCAAATAAAAGTAGACTGGGTCCTGCTGATGTGGCAGCCAGAAAAAGAGACCCGGTCTCCCCTTAAGTCCATTTTAGACCCAAGTAGAGACCTAGTCTCTTTGCATTGGAGTGAATTTTATTAGTTTTACATAATTTTATCCACGTCATCTAAGACTTGGGTTTATTTATTTGCCACATAGACAAGACTAGACCCAATGCATTGAAAATGCTCTAATTGTACTAAGATATATTGAATGAAAGTACGAAATTGTTTATTCACGTATGGAGTCGTTCTAGAAAATCAAACCTAGTAGTACCCAACTTTAAATTCTCTCATTATTCTACGTCAATACCACACTCGTGTCATTGTGTGTAACAGAATATATGTCCATGAGCGCATATACTCTAAACCAAATATTCTTATCTAAAATCCACAAATTCTTTATTCAACAATTTAATGAATAAAAATGGAACAAGTGGAAGCATACTTAGCAAGCAGTTGTGTAAAAGTAATGCTGAACCCACTAATTCCATATCACCATGAATCATCAATCAATTGTTTTTCCTTATAATAGGTTGATATAGAAACAGGTGGCCAACATTTATTAGATCACGAAACAATTAATTTTTCACTCAAGATATTTAATCACATAAAGTTCATAGAGAGGGTGTGGCCTATGTCTACGTGTCAAACTATGCCACACTATGCCGTCAGTAGTGAAAGACTATACAAAGCCACCAAACTTTTTTTTGAGATAAATAAACTGTGTTGCGTTGTTTTCAAATTTAATTAGTTTCGTGTTCCATCCAACATTTTGTTTTTATAGAATGAATTAAATGGCTAGTTTTTAGTTCATAAGCGTTTTAAACAATCAATATCATCCAATAGACATATTCCTCTACCTTCTGTGTCTGTTAAGAGACCACTAAAAAGTGCGACATAGTAATATACTTAGTCGTCACGTAAATTCCACCTAATTCAGACGTGAACTTCAGATTATTTTTGTATGTGGTGGGGTCTCCATTATCAAGAACATGCCCTCATATTTCCAAGTATAAATACACTCTTCACGCCTGATCATAAATCAGTATCCAACAAAAAGCCCATATCTCGCACTTGTTTTCAGGTAATCGTCATTATCTACTTTCTGTTCTAAGTTTCAGCTCATTTCATATAACATATTAATGGCCTGCATTCTGGGATAATACCATTTATGCTATCTTACATTGATGTATAACAATAAATCATGCTGATATCTATACGTATACACAAACTAAGGCCTGTCTCTTTCTTTCCTAGTATTTGTTCTCATGTCAAGAAAGATTCTTCTTATTGTTTTTTATTTCACCTAAATTCTTCGAACTTACTCCCAGAAAATCATAGGGACAAGATAAAGCATATCTACAGCACAAGAAATTGGTTTACTTTGATTTAAGAAAGCAAAGAGTCTACAGGAATTTGTCTACTCTACTGAAAATGGAAGCTGCCAGGTGTAGTGGCTCTAAATATAACTGCTTACTCTTTGGTATGCAACTAATCCCCAAAATTTATCCTTAAATATTGAATTTAAAGTATATCAATGTACTTATTTAAACATAAGGGGAAATCATGCATGATTAGTTTTATTCTTTAATTTTCACTACGTAGATATGGATGACACTCTATATCCTTTGAGCCTGGGGATTAACATAGCTTGTCGCAAGAACATAGAAGGTGAAACTCTTGCAAACTATCAACTGTTATATATAACTCTAGAGAACCGACTTACTACAGTTGTTCTTAATTGATGAATTAAGATTTAATTTCTGCAAACGACTGTTGGTTTGTGTACATGTACAGAATACATGCTGCATCACTTGAATATTGAAGAAAGTGATGTGCCTAGGATGTGCTTGGAGTTGTACAAAGAATATGGAACAACAATGGCTGGTCTTAAGGTACAAGAGAAAAATTAAAGAATATGATCCGGACTAGGTTTTACGAATCTGACAAACCTACCATAAATTTTATTTAATTCTTGCAGGCACTAGGATACGAATTTGATAGTGACGAATTTCATGCATGCGTTCATGGAACACTACCATATGAGTTGCTAAAACCTGATCCAGTCCTCAGAAGTCTTCTACTCTCGATGCCACAGAAGAAAATAGTACGTCACCTACAGTAAATTGAATGTGCCTTATAGAATACCAGATCCTCTACATTTCAAATGATATTTCTTTTTGTTGTGTAAATTTGGAGAGACAGGAACAAAAGAATTAAAGAAATGTGTTGGACCAATTCACATACTTTTCTGTTTCACGTGTCTTTTTCTCATCAAATTTACACTATGAAATGTTAGAGGATCAATTCCTTGTAGACACAGAACTAATACTTTGTAAACATGTTTGCAAATAGCAAATCTAACAGCAAATGTTTTCTAATCGCAGATATTTACAAATGCAGATGAAGCTCATGTAGCTCAAGTGCTTCATAGGTTGAAGTTAGAAGATTGCTTCCATGGTGTTATATGCTTTGAAACTTTGAACCAAAGACACAAAAATGTTAAACAGATAAATGGGGTCGATGAGAAATGCAGAGAAGGAGTGGAAGAACATACTCAGGATGTTGTCGACGCAAATCAGAGAATTCTCTGCAAACCTTCTACAGAAGCAATAGAAGCTGCCATTCACATAGCAAATATTGATCCCAAGAAAACAGTTAATCGAGAATCAAACTAACCATTTTCTTTTATCTCTTTTTTTTTCTGATTTTCCTTCTTAAAGTTATATCTATATAAATAATATATATAATTAACAAAAAGTTTTTTTTTTTTCAATAGATATTCTTCGATGACAGTGTTCGTAACATTGCAAGCGGAAAAGCAGCAGGACTTCACACCGTTATTGTAAGTCTAGAAAATTTCAAAGAATTTAAGATATCTATACTTGGGATGTCATGAGAAATTTTATCCACTTATTATATATTTGAATACAAAAATTGGAGGTGGGAAGATCAACTCTGGTGCCAGGTGCTGATCATGCTCTGAACAGCATACATAATATAAGGGAGGCATTACCTGAGATATGGGAAGACGAAGGAGAGCATTTGGATCAAATACTCCAATCCTCTGCTGTAGAAACTGTTCTAGCATAATATAACATTCGTGTGGATCTTAGATAAATGTACTAAGAAAGAAAAATAATGTAATAACATCTATTAAATGAAATTCTTACCCAGCACACCAGACATGATAGCAAAGTGCTGCCTGTCAACTAATAAGATTCTGGACTTGATGAATGTCCTGCAAATCAGATAAGTGCAGCAAATAAACAAATAACTGATTGCAACGAATCTGGAACGAGTATTAAAACATTCATGTTTTGATTGGGCCCAACTACTCGTAATAATTTTTAACATCATTCCACCATTGAGTATCATAAAAAATCTTAACATCACCAGCCAGATTCAAATTCAGCTAGATTACACAGGTAATAATCGTATACGACTTTGCAGCTTGAGATAGTATTGTCACAAAACTAGATATGAATTTCTTTCAAAAATTTAACTTCTACATATATATTAGAAAAGTGAAAGAAAAACTAAATAAAACTTATTACGCATTGAACAACCTTAGCACGAAGTATTTCCACTGCTAACCATTCAAAGCCAGAAAGACAGAATCTCAGATATACAATTGACAGATCCCACATTAGTTAATGTCTATTACACGCACGGTCATTACAGTTGCTGAAAACTGTACAGCCAAACCAAGAAAAACATGAATACTAAGATTGAGGTCATTACAAATGTCACTACAGTTGTACTGCAACATACACTTGAATTGTTCCAAAAACCTAAGTACTGAACTTGTTCAAATGGGTCTTTTGTTTGGTGTTGACACTTATCATTCATTACATAAGGAGCCAACATGGGCATTCTGAAGCAGATATTTAGCATTGTGCAACAGATCATCAGCATCCTCATTGGCAGCATCAAGCAAGCGAAGTTCCTTGATTTCCTCCTCCCACTTCAGCATCTGCTCCTTGTGAATCCTATCAAAAAGTGAAACAATCAAACACAAGTTTTCATTCCCTGTGGTTATAAACTATTTTAAATCTTCTTCACATACAAAATCATCCGCTCCTCAAACTCATTGCTCAGTTCCTTAAGCATAGACTTCCCAGATTCTAGCATTTCAGAAACCTATATGGAATCAAAGTCAGATGCAGTCTCTAACAGAATAACACTAGAAGTATGCATAGAAAAAAGTATGAAAGAGGTTACTCTGATTCATAAATTTTTTCCTGTTTGGACTGATTACGGATTATTTTGGTACCGAAAATTGTATAATTTTACCATCTCAGTGTAGTTGTTGATCTTTTCATGAATATGATCAATCTCAATCTCCACTTGTTCTGAGGCTCTTGGTCCATTTTCTTCAACTGGAACAAGTGCAGTGAGTTCATCTTCCACCAAGGTTTTCCTATCCTCCACCTATTCGTTAATATCTTAGTTATGAGGATTGTTAAATGCCATCTTCCTTATCTTCTTTTGCCTTAATACTGCCAGGAAGAGTAAAACGGAGGAGAAGACATACAGAAACTTTCACACGTTTTGCCATTGCATTGCTACCTCCATCTTCCATTTTGAATAAGACCTGAAAAACACTCAAGGAAAGAAAAATAATTAGTCTCATCCATAAGTGGTGGCTTCAAAACGGTGCTAAAGCAGAAATCAACCAACCACAGGAACGTGATTTGGAGTCATGGTATCTGTGCTACAAAAGTATACAATAAGTTTCAATTTGAATGGCTGAACTGAGGTTATGGCTCTTTCTTTTTCAAATCTTTTCCGTTTCAATTTTCAGATAACAAGTAGCTATTGTGAAAAGGATAAAGTTCAAGGAGCAACAGAAAAGTATAGCTATCTACCTTGTTTTGTGCTACACAAAAACTATGAAGCTTAGGACAACCCTTCACATGCACCCAAGAAATACATAGGAAAGAAGGAAATAAATCAAACAAAGTTCAAAGGAACATAGATAAACGGAACTACGAAGGTCTACATTGATCATATGGCTAACCATGCCATGAGTTATGTCTCTGCTTTATACACATTCAAGAGGTTTCAATCTACCTCTAAAACCAACTAACAAAACCAGTCACCTAGTAATGGTTTTTAGAGACAACAAACCACCAGGTGAAAGAACTCATAGAAAGGAATTATTATGCAGCGTAGTCAAAGTAATTTCCATGAAAACCTGACAAGTAACCGTACCTACCAAATCATCAAACAAACAGACCAAATAAAAGAATAATAAAAGAAAACAAAAATGAAGAAGAAATTTCCATTTACACTACTGATTCAATACAAGTCGGAAAATAATGAATATGGTAATCAGCTTCTTTTCAGAAATCAGCAAAGCATAATTCGTACCAATAACGAATACAACAGTTATAAAATAGAGAATGTCTAAAACCTTAAGAGATGAAGATAGGCAAAACAGTGTAATTGATNAAATAAAAAAACAAATGATCCAAGTGCATTATACAGAGCCATGAACAAAAAAATCAAAATGCACAGCAAATAAAGTTGGATTAACCGATCAGCTCTTCTGATGAAACTTTCCGCAAATACTATAACCGGAAAAGCGGATCCGAAGTTAAGCTCACCTCTACAAAGGAGCTGCGCAGTGATTCAGCTGTTCATTAACAAAAATAGACAATCAGATAAAACAACGCGATTCACTTCGAATACTGACATTTCTACGGGCTTCAGCTTAATGCAAAGTAATCCGCGTAATCAAGTAGAGAATAGAACAATAGAAATATCCAGAAATTACCGTAGTAATCAGCGGCACTGCGTGATGTGCTTTAGCGTGGAGAGAGAGGGAACGAAGAAGGTGGTGTTATGATTGAAAACGAGGGGTTTCTGAAAGCGTCACTCCTTTTAGATTTTTGCGCATCTTTGTAGAAACGTTTTAAAAAATCTGTTCTTAGAGCATTTCTTGTGCACTGTTTTTAAGTGAAAAAAAAATAAGGGTCATGTCATTATTGAATACAATATCTTCATATTTATCTGTTTAATAGGCACTGTTATGATCTCATTATTTTTGACGTGACTTAACAGTAGCCAAGCCCACTGTTTGAAGTCAGAAAGTGCATTTGACGGCGTGACTCAGAAAAAAACTTCCCAAAATCTCTAGAATACGGGAAAACAACTGGAAAAGAAGGAAAAATTCGCGACAAAAATTTAGGGAAAAATTCGCGGAGAAGAACTGAAGGAACACTGCGGTACCTGAGAGGGAAAATTGAAGGGAAAAACAAAAATTGTGTAGATCCGAGTTTCATCTCAGAACGGTGAATCAAAATTCAACAAGGTAAATGATGAAATTTTTCAAGTTCTTTGACAAAACTTGTGTGCTGCAACTTTTATAGCTAGGTTTATCTCACTGAGGTAATATATTTAGAGGATTGATTGTAGTGTATTTTTCTCAAAGAGTCAAACTTGCTCTTCTTCCTTTATTTTTTTTTGTTTTTGTTTTAAATATTGGTTTTTCTGTGTTTTGCTGGAGAAAAATATATTTGTGAACTTTTTTTTTTCGTGCAGATTTGTTAAATTTTTAAGAGCATATTGGTGTTATCGTGAACTGAACCATGTTCCTTAAATTCTAGTTTACTCTGGCAATATATGTAGATATATTTTGCAGTAAAGATCTCAAATTTCTGGTTGATTTTTTAAATAATGGAAAGTGTTGTTTGTTTTGAGTATCAAATTTTTCATCTGTAGATATAATATCGCAAATTTGAACATTTGTTACTGGTGGTTGCATAAATTGGGAATGGCTTTGTTAAGTTGAAATATAATAATGTCCATATTCTAGCAATCCTTTTTGTTCCCAAAGGTCATTACTTGTTGTTGCACTTTACCTTCTATTTCTGCCAAAAACATGCATTCAGATGTATTGTAGTAAGATTGCATTTGACAAATTCCATGTGTACTAATTTGTTAAGTTTCTTACACTTATAAAGGATACACAAATATGTTCAAAATCAATCTCTCAATGTTTTAATACGAGGGTTATCATTTAACACAACCGATGTATTTATGTGGAATAACAAGTTACAAATTTTAAGGATATATTGTCAACTCATTATCCGCTGCTAAAAACCCGTTCAATATAGAAGATTAGAAATAAGTTTAACCAGAATCCTCGCGTTTAAAAGTCAGTTTAACAGAATCCAGTAGGAAAGAAAGTGGTGCATTGGACGAAGTAATTGGCTGTTGCTATTTCTACTGTTAACGGTGATATTTAGGGGATCAGTTATCCAATTATGTACAAACACATGGCATGAACATTTAACGTTGACATTCCTACGATTGGAGATGCTCTTACAATTCCATTCTTTTTTTAACCAACATTAAATACTCCCTCTGCTTTAAAATATTTTTCGTTCTAGGTGAAAAGAACAAAATTACGTCTTTGAAGGAATTGGTTACATTATTAATAGGTTTCCCTCCTTATCAGTTTTATAATTATCGAGATATCAAAAAAAAAGTGCTTTCATGTTGGGAGTGAAGTTAGAGAGCTTATAGATAAAGATACGAATCATTAAAAAAAATAACAAGCATGAACTAAACCTTCGGAATTGTAGGATTTTATCAAACTAAGTAGTTGATGGTTATCTAAAACGACAATTAATAAGTAAAAAAAATACACACTCAAACGACAAGTATTTTAAAACGGAGGGAGTATGATATATAAACTGAAAGAGTACATCTGTATAACCAACGAGTTACAAATAATGTTTCTCAGGTAGGCACAACCCCATCCAAGAAACCGATGGAGAAGACTACATCCAGCTCCCTTAAAGGACCAATAAGGCCACTCAAAGCTAACACCAAAAATACATCTAAAATATACACAACAAACAAAACAAAGTTTATACATCCCAATTAAAGTGACCCAAAGGACCAAGAATCCAAACTTTTCAACAGGGCAAAGATGTCTTCAACAATCACAACAACCTCAATGTCAAATGGACTCTGTTCAGATAACATCTTTCTCAGTTTCTTATCCTCCACTTAAATTTAAACTTCCTGCCACCCTACCCTCTTCCCACCTAGCAATCAGTCTCTAAGTTGAAGTAAGGTGTCCACTTCAGTCCCTCTTGTAACTTGCCTTGTTGAAGACCATTTTTGCACTACTGAATTGCTAATCAAGGTTGTCCCATGCACCAGAGTTCCTGCCACTGTTGATCCATTAGCACTGGAAGCTGAATGCAGCTCCTCTACTCCTTGGAAATCACCAGAGGATGAGCCGCTCCCTGCCTTATATCTACAGCTACCAGTCTGTGGAGCTTCTGCATTGGTTTCTTCAAATTCATTCCACTCTTGATAAGCTAACATCACCACTTATCTCTCTGAACACCATTCATTTTGAAATAGCCATCCATTACGAGTCTTCCACAGCCACCACATCAGATATGTAGACAATGAGACTCTATATCTGCCATTTCCTTCAGCCATCAACTTACAGACCTCTGCCCATCAATCAGTGAATGCCACACCTTCATCTTGCAACCTAGACCACCACAAACCTGCCAATTTCCATACTTTTTTAGCTCTATAACAATAAAAGATTATATGCTCCAAAGTCTCAATATCCTCCCCACATCCCCTACAGATTTTATCAATATTCATGTCTCTCTAATCTAAATTAAATTTAGTGCCTAAACAGTTGTGGATACATCTCCACAAATTTTTTTTGATTTTGTTCTTTATAGGCAACTTCCATGTAACTGTCCACATCTTCCTGATCCTGTTACATCCTGCACTACCTTCCTCTTGACCTGCATATATTCTCTTCTGGTTTTGAATGAAGTGATAGGCTGATTTCACTGTTTGCCTTTTTTATGGAGATGCCACATCATTCTATCCTAAGATCCTACTTTGCTGATATGGATTTTGAGAATTTGATCAACTATCAAAGGATGAAAAGTTTGGAGCACCAACTCTCTATCCCACTCTCTGCTACCCTCCACCATAAGATCAGCCACTTTACTAAGCCTAGCCTTATCAACAGCCTAACCCACCCCTGGCTTGAAATTTGGTACATTTGGGATCCAAGGGGAGTCCCAAATTTCTATAGCGCTACCATTACCTACTGAAAATCTAGTCCCCAAACTAAAATACTTCCTAACAGCTAGCCATCCTTTCCACATCCAGGAGTCACTATCTCTCTTATTAACCACCCAGACACTTTTATCATGAAAGTATCTCCCCTTAATCAACCTACTCATAAGAGTATTTGGTTTAGTCAACACTCTCCACAATTGTTTCATAATAAGAGCATCATTGAAATCCACTAAATCCCTAAATCCCAAACCACCCTCACAATTAGGCCTAGCTAGNAGGAATCACAGTTTCAACAAGAACTTCTCTCCCTGCCTCACCTAAAAACTTGTTTTTCCAATTTGAAATTTTATTTACAACACACCCTTTCACAAAGGAAAAGGTATCTCTTTCGGATCTACCAATCCCCAATGGAAGCCCCAAATACTTGGTGATATAGGATATTATACTAGAACGGTTTTAATGGATAAAAGGGAATATATTGGAGAAAAAATGAATATATTGGAGAAAAAAGGAATATATTGGAGAATAAAAAAATATGTTGGAGAATAAACATACACATGGGCTAGGACACGTGTCATGATTGCATTGGACAAGCCCAACTTGGGCCATAAGGTACACTCTCTCTATAAAAGGGGGGCTAAGGTATCTCATTCTCTCACTCTCTCTACATTGATTACTATACTTGGGATTTAGAGTTTTGGAGTGATATTGACTTGAGCGTCGGAGGCCCGAGGCCGGGACTCCTCCCGACGTTACGTTCTTGCAGGTATGGAGGCCATCCGAGTTGAAGGTGTTAGTGTTATATACTGAAAGCTTGGCTTTGCATGTTATTACACATTTACCCTTTATGAATGAGAATCATGTTAGATTAAACAAGTTCTACGTCCTGTTGTTCTGCACTTAGATAGGGTGGGTCGTCATCGGGCGAAGCGAAGATCACTCTATCAGTCACTTGCGAACAAGAATAGTTGTTCACAACCTAGATGGACATGAACACTCCATTCGAAAGGTTGTAGTGTCAACTGTACAGTTTGTCTTGACTGATTAGTTGCACTAGTACATTTATGTATTGAACAGGATCCTAGAGAGGAGAAGTTCATTTTATACTGATCGTCGTAAATGAACTAGGCCTCGGTTAATTACTGCGTTCTCTTAACCCGTAAGATATTAAACAGGCAGATATATATAATATATATTACTTTGATTCACATGGGTGAGGTTCAGTTCGCTAGTTTAATATTCCTACTGTTTTGGGTAATATTATTATATATAGGATGTGTTGTTAGGATATTTACGGTCACCATGTGCGTTAGTTTGATGATGTCCCCGGAGTGAGTTCGTGAAGGATTGTTATGCTAAACCCTGCAGGTGGATTAAATTCCGGCATAATAAGAATGTGATGAACGAGCGCTAGCTTCGGTGAAATAATAATAAATTAATTAATTCTTGATTGTCAGTAATCGAATTAATTAATGGACATTATATCTTAAACGTGGGGAGGTAAATCGAGTAATTATTATTGGAGTCTCAAATGTAATTTGGGCTAGGGAAAGGGAGTGCAATAATATAATGTTGGTGGCCCATTAATATTATTTAATTAATTAGAGGAGTGGGTTTGGCCCACAGTTAGTCTAATTAATTAAGGAGCCCTTTTCCTAATCTCCTTAGGGTCCCTACTGTAGCTCTATATATACATCATTAAGCTCATGAGAAGAGAATCCCAATCCTATTCACACGTGAATAACGCCGCCCATCTCTCTCTTTCTAGATCTCATTCGAGCTTTATCTTCTTCTTGTTGCCCCACTGGTACAAGTTGAAGAAGGGTGTATTGAGTAATACAGTAGAAGATCTGTAGGTAAACCGAGACGAAATAGATTTTGACCTACAGAACTAACCGAAAGTCCGATTGAGACGTACAGTATACCCAGACGACCGTCTCGACGAGAGCTTTCCATCGCCGCGGACGTCGCCGGAATCCGACGCCGCACGCACCCTCACGCGCCGCCGGAAGGTGTCTGGCAGCAAAATTTCGTTTTGATCTGTTTTCATCCGTTTGATCCAGTTTTGATCTGATCTTGTTCGTGCAACCCAAGACGCGTGTTGCGGTCAATCAATTGCGGTCAACCGTTCGTGGTCAACCAGATCTACATAAATTTTAAGCCGTAAGTTCTCTACGTCAAACCTTTAGATCCGTTGCGCATAGGTTTACGTTTGCTATTGAATTCGTGATTTGTACATAACGAGATCCTCACAGATCCCAACAGAAGGAGCCCGAGTGAAGTCTATTTCACGAACATTGGCGCCGTCTGTGGGACCCGTTCGAAAAGCCAAACGGTGTTCCGATCAAAAAATTACAAAAATCCTCCTTCGACTCTGTCGGCCGAAGTGCTCCGATCGGAAAATTGTTTATGTCATCGGGTAGATCTCGTTGAGGTGAATCTCCCTTTAAAATCTCGTGCAAAAATTCATCCGGGAAGGCCTTCAATTTGGTCGGTCAAACATTCTGGATCTAAGAAATTTCGGTCAACTCTCGACCTTCAAATCAATATTTTCAGTTATCCGTGAGGGCTATCAAAAATCCTGGAGCACCATTCGAATCCTCTCGTCGAGATGAGTATACAGAGCCTGACCTTCGATGGCCGCCGCCGCCGCGGGAAAAAATCCTCTAATCGGAAAAAAATCTTTACATCATTGCGAAGCTCTTCTCGTGCTCGTTTTAACCTTAAATTTTCAAGTGAAAATTCCTCCGGGAAGGCCGTCAATTTTGCGGTCAAAGTATTTGGATCTAAAAAGAATTTGGTCAAAATCCAGTCATCTTCCCCAATTTTTCGGCGATTCTGGACGAACCACTTCGAATCGAAGACACCATTGGAACCTCCTCGACGAGGCACCTACGGCCGGTTGTTTTCGCCAGAACCGGTAGCATCTCTCAGGCAGTATTTTTCCGGCCGTGGTCGTCGGAACTAGGCATGGGTCGGAGCTTTCAACTGCAGATCCGCGAGCAGCTCGTCGGGCCTGACGTCCGCAGCCCAGGAAGAATGCCCCGTGCGCGGTCGGCCCAGGAGGAAGCGTGCGATGGGCCCAGACACAGCCCGCGCGGCCCAATTTGAAGAGGAAGGAGGAGCGCGGGCCGAGTTTCAGCCCGCGCAGCCCGCATGTCTCACAGCGCCTAGCACGCAAAGCCCAGTTCTAGTTCGCGCGCGTTCTGCGCGTCTCCGCAGCCTAACAGGCGTACAGCATGGCCCAATTCGATCGTGCGCGTCCCAGCGAGTATAGGAGTGGCCCAGACAGTGGAATATAGCCCCGAACGTGGCCAGGCGCGGCCCAACAGCCTAGGAGTGGCCCATTTCTCGTCTAGGGCGGCCCAGAATGCTACCAAACTTAGTCTAACAGCTCCATTTTGTGCTCGAGACTAATTGGGGAGGATTCGACGCGGGCGGTAAAGTAATTTGAGATAGAATTCTCGTGATGAAGGTATGTGGTTCCTTTAAATAATGGGCTTGAGGATTTTTTAATTGGTGAAAATGGAGAAAATATTGGATTTATTTGTGGAGTACTATTGGACTTATTTTTGGAGCATTATTTGATTTGTTCGAGGAATTTATTTTATTTAGTTGTGGAGTATTATTGGATTTATTTGTGGAGTACTATTGGACTTATTTGTGGAGCGTTATTTGATTTGTTCGATATTTGACTTATTTATGGAGTATCATTTGATATATTTGGGGAGATTATTTGATATATTCGGGGAGATTATTTGATTTATTCGTGGAGAATAGTTGATTTATTCATGGAGAATATTGAATCCGTTGTGTGGAGATTATTTGATTTATTCATGGAGAATATTGAATTTATTGTGTGGAGATTATTTGATTTATTCATGGAGAATATTTGAGAGAATATTTGATTTATTCGTGGGATTTTTTTATTTGTTCGAGGAGATCTTAGTTGATATATTCGTGGAGACTATTTGATTTATTCGTGGGATTATTTGATTTATTCGTGGAGATATTTGATTTGTTCGTGGAGATATTTGATTAATTATAGAGATATCTGATTTGTTCATGGAGATATTTGATTTGTTCGTGGAAATATTTGATTGATTCGTGGATATATTTAAATTATTCGAGGAGATTATTTGATTTATTTGAGGAGAATGTTTGATTGATTTGTGGAGATTATTTGATT